TTGAACGATCCCAAGGGCTTATTGCGGGATTAGCTTTGTAAAGGGGGGCCTATTTGCTCCCGTGCGGGCCCGCTTTAGAAGTTGAAAAACACCCCCCTAACCCGCAAAATTTGGAACGCACATGGGGTAATACCGGCATATATAGTGACCCCCCCCGGGCCTGTCGCCATCTTGAAAACAACTTCCTTATCTTGAACAGCCTCTGGAGCTTGCGCGCTCGCGCTCGCTCGCGCAGTGTCGTTCAGAAGGCGAGCGCTCTCCTGAACATGCCTCTGTAGGTACTTCTTGCCGCGCTGTGACGTGAGTCGCCAATCCTGCAAGATGAGAACGTTGTCTGCCTCCTGGCTGGCCTTCACTCCTCCGAATATCGACGCATTCTGCAGCATGTCAGACTCTTTCTCTTGTCGGGAGAATGGGAACATAAAAAACAAAAACAACATGCATCCTGAGTTGTGTTATTACTACATAGGCACCACAAATACGCAGACAGCTGGTAAAAATAGATCTGAATATTTGCTCAAATACCGTGGCATTTGAGACTCTATAAGCCCTACATTCTCTTTTCTCGCCGACAAGTTGTGTGCTGAGCTCTTAACTCCCACCCCACCAGGTTCTTGTCGATGTGCAGGTCTGCTCATATATATATAACCTCGATAACCTCATAAGTGTCAATCTTTAAAAGTCCTGGGGACTATAACGAAGATGGAGAGAGAAGTGGATCAAGTTGGTAGATCCACACTGCGGATCGCAGTGGAAAAGGTTGTAAATTTGCCATTCACTAAGGATGAAGGCAGTGAATTCCAATACGGAATCACAGAGACAAAGAAGAAAGAAGCTAAACTTAAAAGGATCCTTAGAAGTTTGTACATGCCGAAAACAGTGAACACGCTCAGATGAGCGGGTGCAGCGAACAGGCTTTATTAACTTAAGCAAGAGGCTTGACCTTGTGTCAGGCTTCATTATACAAACATATGTGTTCGTTTTGTATAATTATGTAAGTATTATATAATGTATAATACATTGTAATGTATAATATAATGTATAATTGTAATGTCATTGTATAACATGTGCTTGTAATACTTTGTATAATATTATATGTCTTATATCTATGGTCTGCAGAGCGACCAGCACCAGAACCGGAACCGGAACCGGAACCACGCTGACTAGCCACAGACTAACGGATGGATACACTTACCGCCACGTCTTGTCGTCTACGCAACCCTATTTCCGCTAAGCGTGACTGCATGTTTACGTCGCACATCTTCAAGATCTTCATTGTCTTTGACTACCAGTACTACTACTACTAGGCATTTACACATTAAAACATTTACAAAGCAACTAGAATCGCATATCCTGTACGGGTTGATTTAGCAGATATAGCGCTATGGGGTTACACTCTAAATGTTGCAATAGGCCAAAAACGGTAAGTTCTAAAGTTAAGGGTGGCCAGTTCGGTTCAAGGATAGAGAACATGGTCATGGGTACCAATAAAACCAATGTCATAATTACATCAATATAAATATAATATTATATCAATATAATAGGTTAGGGTTAGGGTTAGACACATTGGTTTTATTGGTACCCGGGCCATGTTCTCTATCCTTGGGCCACAAGTTCTTACTTGAATACTTCGATACTTGTTCAGTTGTTCAATGTTGTAATGTCAATCATGTTGTATTGTAAATTTAATGTTGTAATGTTGTAACAAGTTCTAATGACGTAATGTTAGGGTAGGCCTGTGGCAAAGGCTATCGCACTAGAACTATTGTTAGGGTAGAGCCTAGCACAGCCTCAGGCACTTGACTTAAGCATTTTAATAATAAAATGATGGACTGTAAACACGAAATGTATTGTATTTACTACCAGTACTAGTAGCGCTCATAGGGTCTATGTCCCCCAGGGTACGTTCCCGCAGTACCCCGGGGGACATAGACCCTCTCAGCACTAGTAGCAGTACCAAAGTCTTCCAAAGTATGTTTCTCTACTCTCTTCTCTATCATTAAATTGATTAATAAGTAATAACTTTCTCTAAATGTCGTTCAAATGTTTCTGAGCCTTCTCTACAACACACAAGTTTGGTAAACATCAGGTTTAGCGTCGTAAATTAACTTGCAAACGCCACCGCCAGATGGCGCTACGCGGTCTATCGGCGTTTCGGGCGTATCAGTCGAACATCGTCAGCACTCTCGTAGTTCTGGTACAGGGTAGCGAAGGAGCAGTGTAGGGAGGGGGAGGGGGAAGGGAGGGGGAGGGAGGAGGAAGTTTAGAGTAGTACTAGTAGGTGGAGTAGGGAGAAGCTAGTGAAGAATGAGGAAGGGGAGAAGGGAGAAGCTGGTGGAGAAGGAGGAGGGGAGAAGCTGGTGGAGAAGGAGGAGGGGGAGAAGCTGGTGGAGAAGGAGGGAGGGGAGAAGCTGGTGGAGGAGGAGGAGGGGGAGAAAGAATGAGGAAGGGGAGAAGGGAGAAGCTGGTGGAGAAGGAGGAGGGGAGAAGCTGGTGGAGAAGGAGGAGGGGGTGAAGCTGGTGGAGAAGGAGGGAGGGGAGAAGCTGGTGGAGAAGCTGGATTCCCTAGCCCAAGATGAGAGGAAGTTAAATAAGGACAATTATGTCAGTGTGGTGATGTATTCAGGTAGTAAAAATGATGGCTAGATACCAATGTAGCCCTTCACTTGCCCCTCAGGGCTGCATGTGAGCAAGAGTAATCAATAGTAATAGTATATGACAACAGTGGAAAACAGCAGTGAATCTTTGCAGCATGGCAGACTATCTGGTGACTGCTGTTTAAATCAGGCATGGCTGTGTGTTTGTGTTTTCATTCATTTGTGTTTGATAAGCAGCTCAATCTGCCAAGTTATGGTAAGTCGCATCTGAATGGAGAGTGACAGGCTAAAGTCAAGAGCGCATTTATTGATTGTATCGCAGGCTGCAGCTTGCCAAGATGTAAAGATTCATTGTCATTTTCCAGCATTGTTTGGTTCTACTGCCTTGTTGCAGGAGCAAAAGGACTAGGTGGTAGAGCTATAAAAGGTAGACCTGATCTAGTCAATAATGAGCGCGACGAGAATCACGAGATGTAGGCTGAGAGACCTAATATTCATAGTCTGAAATGCCAAATCTGTTTAAAACTGCTCAACCAAATGCTTGATCACTTAATCAAAGCCATTGAAACACATTCAGTGATTTTCAACAAAGTTATTAGCATTGTCAGTGATTGGATCTGTTGAGAAAAAATGCCTGATTACACGAAGCGTAGGTGATGCTTGCAATTTTTTTTTTAACTTTCAGCTATTGCAAAAAAATCCAAACAAGTTACATAGACTAAAGAAAGCCGAACGAATAAGACAACAAGGTGGACAAAAACAGGCAGGAATTCTTGACATTGGACTCGTAACACCTGGTATTTTCAAGAAAAGAAGGTATATATTTATCCTAATTGATTTCACTAACCTAGTAAATTGCAACTGGGGTTATATATTTTACTACTATAGACCCTCATTAGCTCTGCAATTGTAAGCTACCATGGTCAATAATTTCTGTCCAAGTTATGCAGGATAAATAGATTAGATGCTCCTTTACTAAATTCAGAGGCCCCTAACTCAAAGTTTAATGCATATTTTCTGTTAAGGCAGATTTAAATTATGATTCCAAAAACCTTGAATTTTTGTTTGCAGCCTACAGGCCAAGGCCATATATTATTCATTGATTTAATAAAATAAGGATTGCAAAATCTATATCTTACTATTATGTATTTTCAGTTAGGTTATGCTTTTGTGATTACCTCCTGGTCTGAAAACAGCAGAATAATTATTTACGTAACTCAAATTTCAAAAGCATAACTTCATAAGGGTGCAGCAGTTGTATGGTGTCATGGCAGCACCCATCTATGATAATTTATTTGTCTGTCAAGTGGTATTATTTATGAGTTTCTATCGCATACATTATATAAAAAACATTATTAATAATACTCGTACATCTTAATAAATTTTAATTAATGTAATTATAGTGCTGAATCAAATACTTGTTCTAATCTTATTTGTAGTGCAGTAATATCGTGTGTTACAAAAGTAAGTGTGTGTAACGAGAGCTGCTGTAACATGGGGTAGGCCTATTACTGTGCATTTATTTCCTATTCATATCATTATTTGTGCAATGCCATAGTCAATCATGAAAGTTTTCTTTCATAAGGACAAATCCAAGAGCTAATATCACTCTGTCTGGAAAGAAGAAGCGAAAGGTTCTCAAACAACTGAAACGAATGGCTAAAGAAAAAGAGGAAATGGAAGGTATTTAATTATTTTAATTATGCTGGTAGAAGTGTTCAATGAAATATTTACATGCAAATAATGTGCGTATGTTGACGTTTGCATACAATGAACATGTATCGTTGGATTTAAAATACTGGGGTTTCTATATATTCTTAAAACTTCACACGGCCTCATTTAGAGACATTTGACATGACACAATCTGGACAATCAAGGTAGCCATGTAGTTTGTATGGTTACAGTGTTTTTAAATTGCATAATTCAAAGTTGCTAAGGTACCTGTGATAGAGTACCATGTATATATAATCAAGAGCTAATAATACCTAGAGTGTACAACGGAAAAACGGGAAAATAGTGCTATTTCACGACATGATTATTCTACTTTGCCTGCGAGTCTAGAATAATTTTATGGTACTGCATTAAGCAGAATTCTTTGC